GAATACACTTATATCTCCATCCAAACAAAATGATAAAAAGACCAATAAATTAAAGCAATGTGGGCCATGCAGTCATTGTACTTTAGAGATTATTACACTTGTCCAAATATTCATTCATAATACTCTTCCCAAAAATTAAAAGACAAAAATTGTGGATCATAAAATTGTATGTTCTCAGCTTCAAAGGGATGATGAAAGGCGGACGAAGCAACGAGCAATCTATTATCATACATATATGATGATGGAAATTGTAGTTACAATAAGATTCGGAAGAGGGTTTGAATTCTGATTGGTGGTTAAAAATCACCAATTTAATTACCGCGACTATGACAGCACACCGTTATAAATTTTCCGTTGAGGTAGGCAATAATAAAGACCCCTTAATTTTCCCTGAATATGGTGTAATTGAGTATGTAATTATTGCCAACCAATTAATTGTAGTTCTTTCATATTCCTTTTTTCATTTGGTGCCAACAATTCAAAATTAATTAAAATCCAAGTAAATAAGATGTAGAGTTTGTAACTAAAATGTAATTATATATATATAAGGCTTGCTTATTTTCCTTAACATAAAGGTCATTAGCTTATTAGTGTTCCTTTATGTTTTCCCGTATAAATTTTGATTCCTCAATTTAATCAGTTTTTTTAATCTTCAATATCTAATTGGTTTATTAATAGATTCTGATTTATTTTGGTTTTTTTTTATTTTTTTTTTGGGGGGGGGGGGGGGGGGTTTGGTGCAGAATTGAGCCTTGGGGTTCTTATACTCATCGTGGAAGTCAGGAAAGCTTATTGGTAAGTCAGTTTATTTGTGGGAAATTTTGTTAATTACTACCTCAAAAACAGAGGCTTTGTGAATTACCCCTAGAAAAAAGAGTTTTTAATTACTACCCCTAAAACCGATTAATTCAAGTGATTGCTACCCTTTTCCCTAATCAGGTGATTTAAGATCTTAAAGATATCATTATCCGGCTAATTTGTAATTAGTTACTTTTAAACCTTAAGTAACTAATTAAACCCTAGAACCACCTCCACACCACCATTGCACCACCACCGCCCACCCTCCACCCACAATTGCCAACCCCCTCTCGTTAGCCATCCTCCCCCCTCCCCCCTGCCGACGTCGGTGACTCCAATCCCCCTCCCTTTCCTCCACCTACGCAGCCCACCCCTTCCCTTATCCCCTTCTCGCTGCCCCAACCCCTACCCCCCACCCCAAAACCGGAAAACAACCCTCCTTCCCCATCCCCCACCGGAATCGGCCCCCCTCCCCTTCCCCTACCCTAAATCGACCCCCTCCCCTTCTCCCACCCAAAACAGACACCCTAACCCTTAAACACCAGCCCGACACCACCATAAACGAAACCCTAAATCTCGTTTAGGGTAGTTTTGGGCTAGTGGTTTAGGGTTAGAGGTGCCGGTTTTTGGTGCTGGGGAGTGGGGCGACTTGTTCGAAGGAAGGAGCAGCAGCAGTAGCGACGCATTCTGGTGGAGGAATGGGGAGGGGGTGGTTTCCGGTTCGGGGTGGGGGTCGGGGCAGAAAGAAGGGGAAAAAGGAGGGGTAAGGGGTGGGGTGGATGCCGGGGTGGGGGTAGGCTGCTTATTAGCTCACCGGCAAGGAGATGATGGGGTAAGGGGCTGCCGAAGATGGTGGGGATGGGGTAAGGGGGCTGTCGGAGGTGGTGCAGTGGTGGTTTAGAGGTGGTGTTAGGGTTTATTTAATTAATCATGGCTTAAGAGCTTAAATCACCTAATTAGGGGCTGATTAGGGAAAAGGGTACCAATCACTTGAATTAATCGGTTTTAGGGGGTAGTAATTAAAAACTTTTTCTTTTAGGGGTAGTAATTCACAAAGCCTCTGTTTTTGAGGTAGTTATTAACAAAATTTCCTTATTTGTGAATAGCACTTTTGAGTCTTCAAAACTTATAATTTTTGGTGTATATATTTTTTAGCAATGTATTTGTTAAGTAATATTAAGATAGAAGAATAGATTACTTCCTATGATGAATCATTTATTTTATCTTCTATTCCAAAGCTGCACTTCTTCCTATGATGTGAATAGGCCTCCTTCACTTATTATGATTAACCTTTGATGTAGTTGTCTTTGAGGATAGGGGTTGTATGTTAGTAGGGAGATTGAGAAATTACAATGTTGAGTATTGATCTATGTGTCTCGAGGTTTTTATTCTTTCTGAAAATTGTGAGTTTGTTGTGAGATTTATTTTCCCTACTCTGGTGGTGAATAAAAATTAGCTTAATGTAGTCGCATTGACTTTTCTGAATTAATGTAAAATATGCCAATTGTTCCATGAATGTCTTGGTCAATTGCAAGTTCTACTTTGATTTATTTCTGAATTATGATATGAGAGGACAAGGTTTTGTAGACATATGTTAAAACTTTATCGTGAAAGTTCGACAGTCATTAAGGTTTAAGTTCTTTAATTAAATGGGAAGATGTTTGAAAATTTTCGATGAATTAAGGAGTAAGACCGGATAAGTTGTCGAACTAAAGTAATTTAAGTAAAGTGAGAGGATTCTCAGCTGGTGACTAATTTGACTTATAGTATATAGTATTTTGACAAAAAAACGCTTTATAACTTTTCTGTGTATAGCTTTATTGAATATAACTAGGTGAAATTGGTTCAACGTCATATGACTATGTGAAATTTCTTTAAACTCCAAAAAAAATGAATCTGTGTAGGGACTCTGTTATCTCCCTAAGATAATGAATTCGTGTAGGGACTCTGTTATCTACAAAAAAAATATGTTATCTCCCAAAAATAATGAATATGTTTCCCTTTCTGCATTGTAGGGACTCTAGTCACATATTGAGCAAAAGGGGAACTTGGACTTGGATCACTCATCTTAAAGGTAGTTGCTTATATACCCAATTCTTCTCATGTGGTCTTATCTATATAAATTATTATTAGAAGTATGTGTTTTCTTTGTTATCCTATTTGTGGCTACATCTATCTATCACTCAATGTATATGTGCAGTAATAAAAAAAAATAAAAAAATAAAAAATAGGACAATAGTGATTATTTATATAAAACACAAACTACATATTTTAATAGAATTCTAAATTATTCATAGAAAATTACATATATCAGTCCTATGTTTTATGATGTATGGTTTTTTTTTATTTGGGTGTTTCACCTGGTTCACCCTTTGTGTTTTATTTTGTATGTTATAGTATAGTTAAATATACTGAAATTTAAGTATGACATGATTGACACCAATAGTTGAAATTCAATATAAGTTTTAGTTCTCTGCTATCCAATATCACGACACTTAATCTTTAACAAATGAAAATATGTATGAATAAAAGCAAGGACACTTTAATAAAACTGAACATACTACCCAACTACTATATTATTGCAGGAGATGTTTACTTGCAGTGCAATAGTAACAAGCATTCACGCTGACAAAAAATGGCATTACAACTCCTGTGCTACATGTAAGAAAAAGATAGATGAGACTTTTTACTGCTCAAATTGCGATGATATAGTCAAATACCCTAAGACAAGGTACATTAGAATACCAACTACACACTCATTTAAAAACAAACAGATAAAATAATCTTGCATTGTAACAACCAACAAAACTCACAAGTACCTCTTAACTATTGAGATAGACGATGGAAGTGCATGTATTCTAATGGCATTGTTCGACAAGGAGGCTGAAAAAATTGTGGGAAATCCGGTCCACAAATTAATGGAACTCGAGAAAAAGGTATGAATCTTACAACTTACTAACAACAACTATAATATAATGCCTTTAAACTAAGATGACCATATACAAAACTAAGATGACCATATATAATATAATGCCTTTAAACTAAGATGACCATATACAAGGTGTTGCAACGATTAGAGCATTGTGTTGGCAAACAATTCGTTTTCAAGTTCAAGCTAAGAACAACAAGTAACAAAACTGAACTCATTTGCCAAAAAAACATACGACATCAACTACAAATTAGAAAAGGCTTACCAAGAGGAACAAAATCAAAGCCAGGTGTGTTACAACACAAATACCAATGGGACTGCCTTAAATTAATACCTAAACACTACTAAAATATATGCATTCTGCAAGAAGCCATCATAAACCAACCAGAGCATCTTGAGGATGACAACACAGGAAAAACTGAAACACAAAGTACTCCAAAGAAGAGGACTCGAGATGAAATGTAAGTCAAACATCTCAAAACAGTGACTATCAGTTACAAAAAAATGACCCACAAATAATGAAAACGTAATCTCTTAAATACAGGAAGAACGACAAAGAAGATGGAGCATGAACAACCCAGGCAGTTCTAGCAGCTGGACAGTGAAAGGAACAAAATAGGACGCACAAAAAAAAAAAGGAAAAACAAAAGGCACAGCTTGGAAGAAAAATTAGAGGAAGCTAATCAATAGCTTGCAAAGAATGGAGTGTTAAATATTGTTTTTCAATACTCTGTGTTCGAAACATAATCTTTAGCAAATTTCAAAAACAAAAATAATGACGAACAAACCGTTGGCACGAAAAAAAAAACCTTAATCAAAGCGGTTGCTATTGTCTTTCAACACTCTTCGTCAAAACATAATCTTTAACAAATTCAAATACACAAAACCATGATGGACAAGCCATTTGCTCAACAATAAAATTAATCAAAGCGGTAACCCTGGGCATTGCCCGGATGACACACTATTTTACCAATATAAATAGATTGTAAAGTGATGTTGAGAACACATCAACATAAAATTCAAGTGTAGGAAATATTACTAATAGCAATTAAACTAAGATAAATTATATGAATTAATGTCGTGGTACGACAAAGTATTACTGCCCTAAAGTTGAATTTGTTACTTTACTTGCACACGGGCACACGGCCTCGTGGTGATCAACCTCCATGGTTACATGAGCACAAAGTACTATTTGAATGGGAAAAAGTCTATTGATTTTCTTTAAAATAAATAAATAAATAAATACATAAATAAATAAGTCAACTGATTGATGTCAGGACAAATTTTGTGATTGATCTACTGAAGCAAATAACTCCAACAAGTTATCATACTATCCTCTCTTTGTTATTTCCCACAAATATCTATCATTTTCCTTTTTATTTGGGTCAGTCCATTATTGACTTCGGCTAATTCTGCCTTGAATGTGTCAACTTGCTTGATGGTTAGTCAGATTTTGCTGCAATTATGTATTTTTGACTATTGAGAATTTGACATGTTTTAGTTTTTATATAATTGTATTTATATTATTTAGGCAGTGTACAATGGTGATAAAGTAGACAAAACTAATGTAAATCTTTCAACTCTGAAATCTGCAGAATGCAATTTCCATTACAAAGGTGCTGTTCTTTCTCTTCAATATTTTGAGATACGGTATACAGTTCATAACGCCCAAATTCAATCAGTTATTTTCTTCTATATATTTGGTTTATTTGTTTGTCAAATCATCATTTTATCTAAAATATTTGACATGGAATTGTATTATATACCTATATTCTTTGCCAATTCTATAATACGAAGTATAATTTATTTTTCCAATGATGTATCGTTTAACTTGTGGGATGTATTGGTGTGGTCTATGGTGTGTTAGAGAATCAAAATTTCATCATTTGGGAGATGGGCGAAATCATCCATTGTTGGGATTTACTCCGAAAACTAAGTTCAAGAAAATTATACTATAAGTTCAAGTAAAACTATATGTTACTAAACTTGAAGCTAATAGTTCCTAGTTAAAACTTAGTTTTACAGTGATTTAAATTGATCATTGATTGTTTTATTTATACAAGTCAGTTTAAAAACTATTTCTTACACTACCGTCCACGTAAGCTCGGTTACAAGGTTTGATATTTGCCAGTATAAAACCCCTGACAATGTTGCACTAATGGTATTAGAGATTCTATATATAGAGCCTTTATAGAACCTCTAATACCATCAGCGGTTCTAAGTTGAAGCTACCTTGTTTACATTAACTTTCACTTCTACCAAGATATATATCACTTTTACGGATTAAGAGCCGGGCCTGGTTTTATTGCTTATAGTTGGAACAAGGAATACCAAATACAAGTAATATTTGTGAGATTGGACCTGTTTTGGGCATCTCAGATAAGGATTAAAGATAGATCATCCTTAAATAATATTCCCTTTGTTTCTTCAGTTAACCTCGTTTTATTAATGAGCAGGTAAAACGACTAGCATAAGACATTTTCCAAACTTGCTGTAGGATAATCTCATGCCTCATCACATGAGGTGCTTAAATCAAGAGAAAAAGGGAAGTTTATGTCAATGAACTTGGAAAAAGGAATTATGAGCAGCTGGCATATCCTGCATATGGCATCTAGTTCGTTCAGAAAGATATGGAAGACCACAAGTCTCCAACGAAAAGATGGAAAGGTATGAAGTACACAAGTGCATATGTTGTTGGAGTCTAAAGCTAAAGAGTGTTAAAAATTTTGCTATTGATGCTAATGATGCAGGAAAGTGGCAAATACATGGTTTTCAAAGGGACCATCAAAAACTTAATACAGAATGGAGCATTCGCATTAGAGGAAAGTATTTCCTTGTTTCATGGTAGAGCAAACCCCATCCGCTACTTCTCAGTAGATGAGCTCAACTCTATGAATTTGGAACAACACTCAATGTTCTTCAAGGAATTAGATGTTAAGTGGTACAAAGGTTTCTGGGAAGGAAGGTATGTTTTAGTAAAGGAGCAATCTGAAAAGTATAGTCCTAATCTGACATCCGGAACCTTTCGTGAAATTGTGGTTGCTGCACAAATGAGCGCGCATAAGAATGTGCACAAGCTTCTCGGCTGTTGTCTTGAAACAAAATACACTGTCCTTGTTTTTGAGTGGGTAGAAAATGACACTCTCCACGATCTAATATTCAGAGACAAGAACCAAGATAAACCACCACTTAGTTGGAGGGAGAGGCTACGAATTTCATGGGAGATCTCTCATGCCATGGCATATCTTCACACTGCCTTTCATAGGCCTATCATCCATAGGAGCTTAAAACCTCGAAATGTGTACTTGGGTGAGGATAATGCTGCTAAACTGTCTGACTTCAGTCTTTCCATTTCTGTTCCTGAGGGTGAAGAGTACGTTGAAGATATTGTAGTCGGGACATATGGTTATCTTGCACCTGAATATGGTCATTATAATAGGTTGTCAGAGAGTGTAGATGTGTACGCATTTGGCGTGTTTTTTCTCGTGCTCTTGACAGGAAAAGATGCTGTGCTAATGCCAGTCAAGTCACTAGGGGACAATGGTGTGCCGACTCATATAGTTGAATGGGTTAAAAATGGTCTTGGAGACAACTGCATCTCTGAGATCATTGACCCTGCTATTGGTGGAAATAAATTGTCAACCAATGAAGAGCTTAAAGAGCAACTAAGAGCTTCAGTAGAGCTTGCACTTCGGTGCACAGCAACAGAAGAACATGCCAGGCCGACTATGGTGGATGTGGCAACTGAAATCAATAGTATGATCAAATCTTCTGAATCTTTCCCTGTGAGTAGCAGCAGACCTTGATATATTAATGATTGTCCCTATCTTTCACAGTACAGCATTCTGCAAGCTGCTCAGAAATTCAGAGAAGCTGCTGGCTGATTTACAAGTAAATAAACTGTAAAATGTGATGCTGAATCGTTCATCATTGGAATATCATTATCTACACTGTTCCTAAATGGTATTAGAAGTTCATAATTGTATAATCCTCCAGAACTTAATGTTTGTTGACATTTTTTTGCCAATTAGTATATCTTCCACATAGGTTGTTGCAATCTTGCTGTGCAAACTCTGTTATGTTATATCATCTGTCATCAAACAGAAAATTATGACATGAATTTGGACCCTTTCTTTCAGGTACATAATCAGTTTTTGGTGTTTTACTTTATCAGTTGGAAGCTTAAGCCTTTCTCATGTGACACCTGGAGTCTTTGATAAAATTGCCTGAAGAATTCATTAAGCTCCACACTATATTTTCCTTTCTGCATTTATATCTTTTTATCAGGTGTTCGAAATTTTCTTTTTCTTTTGTCGTAGTAGGGATATGAGAAAATGAGATACCTTAATGAACTTCCGATACCACTTTCAGGTTTGCTTTTTAAATCCCTTCATTTTCTAGTATTTCCAAGGTTTGGTGCCATGTTACTCTCAGCGCTGATGATGGTTGGAGCAATATGTCTCTCTACTGCAGAGAAAAGGATTCCAAGCCTATCTTGTTGGATGGTACTTCGGCTTTGACAGCCCCTTCGTCTATAGTTGTGTGATATGAGGGGGATATTATGGTTTGACTTGTTCTGTCAAGTAGAGGCATCAAAAGTTAGTAATATGCGATGGGTATGCTGACCCTATTAGTACTCTGCGGTGGCCTGATTGCAGTACGTGTTGCAGTATTGCATCTCTCAATTTTCCAAATGCATTACAAGCAAATGTGGAGGAGGTAACACCCTCCATTTTCCAGCGGTGGAAATATTGTCATTCATGAAAGTCTTGTTGGTTACTATAGAAACTAATTATGGATGAGAGTGATTTTGTGAAAATAAATTTCCGGACTGGCTGATATAGGTAGGATGTTCTAGAAGATGAACTGATTAAGGTTGGGGTGAAAGGCACGAAGCCTGCATCTGCATAGTTGAATGTGACAGACTGCCAAAAGATAATCCAATGTGATTGAATCCGAAGTCTGTAGATGAATTTGTACAGCTGAGGCATAAGCCTCTTCTACCGTATGATTATCACCTTGTCATTGTCCGTCTGAACAAATGGGAAGTCAGGTGATAATCTGTTTCAGTCATCTGTCCTGAAATTTACACTACTTGCTGAGTTGCTGTTACGTTGAATACAGTATGGCTCTGTACAGGCCAATTATTTATTCAATTCAGTTGTGGAATTTCCAGTTTAGCTTCACCAAGCTCAAGTTCTTGGATTTAGAAACAAAGGTGTGGAAAGCAGAATTAGCTTCTCAACTTATGCTATTGTGTCATTGTGTGCACACATTTATGTAAATTATTTAATACTTCGTATATAAGTGTATTATGTAAGTGGATTGTGACCTTAAACAATTATATTATTTATCTCTATTCTGCAAGTCAACTCTTGATGAGTTTAGTGTTCACATAAAATACCTGCAATACCTATAATTTTTTATGTACTCTTTAAAATGGTTTTCGTACATGTTTTTTTTAATATTTGAGACACGCATTTTGTGGAACCGACGAAGAATAATTTACCTTATGCTTATGTACAAACATATAACAAATGGTTATATTTACATGGTTGATTGCCTCTAGTGATACTTTTACTTGAGAGTTTATACTAACTAATGGCATAAATAAGATGCAAATATCTGAATAGTGATGAATATTAATGCCATAAGCCCATGATATTCATCTTTACTTGATTAGAGGTAGTAAATGTGCAAAGGTTACTTGAAAATAAACGATATCTTTCTAGAATGATCAAATATATTTTGATCACCTAAAGAGAAAAGTGGGTCCAATGAGGTGGCACTCTCATGGCCACAATAGATAATGAAGCCTAGTAACCCACTCTATTTTTTTAAACCAAAAATCATTTAAATTGTTAAAAATGTCCTAAAAATTAATACTGAATATTTACGTAAATCAGAAAATATTAAAAATTATTTGAGAAATAATTAAATGATTAAAAAATAACCCAGCCACCCCTCCCCCAGCGACCCACCCCCGCCGGCGACCTACCCTCTTCCCTGCACCGCCGGCAACCCACCTTCTTCTCCACACCGTCGGTGACCCACCCCCCTTCCCCTTTTCCCCCGATGAAATGGTATGAAATACACATATGCCAAGCTTAAAATTCAAAGCCTCATAATGTGTTTATGAGCGAGGATAATGCTGCTAAGTTGTCAGACTTCAGTGTATCTATTCCTGCTCCTGAGGGTAAAGAGTATGTTGATGAAGATCTTGTAGTAGGGACTTTTGGTTATAATTGCACCTGAATATTTTATAAATGGCAGGGTGGCAGAAAGCACAGATGTCTATACATTTGGTATGCTATTTCTCGAGGTTTTGACAGGAAAAAGATTTGTGTTCGAGACAGGAGGGGATAGTGATGTTGAAATTCATATACGCGATTGGGTTAGTAAAGGTCTTGGACACAAGTGCATCTCTGAGATTTTAGATCCTGCAATCACCGGTGTTAGACTGACAGTCAATGAAGAGTTAAAGCAGCAATTACGGGCATCAATAAAGCTTGCACTCAGGTGTACAGCAGCAGAAGATCACAGACCAACTATGGACTATGGTGAATGAGGCAACTTAACTCAAGAGCTTGGTCTTGCCCTCTCAATCTATCCCTGAAATAGACAGAGATGGTGAATGTTATGATTGGCTTTTCTAAATCAACAAGGTAGTGTTCTAATGATAGATAGGGAATTGCTATTTTTTGCCTCGGTTTCCTTTATTTACTTACATTTTATCAGTACATTAAGATACATACTACATAATTCTTCTGTAGTTCTGTTGTTATATCAGGAAATGTAATTTCCTTTTTACTTTTAACTGGTCAGTGAATCTTCAAGCCAGAAAAGAAAATGTAGAGTGAGATCTTAATTTGTTTATTTTTTAATACCTTCATACCACAAAATCCTGACCTAGAAGTTAGTGAAACTTCAATCTATGCTAGATTACTAGAAGTTATTGCAATCTTGCAGTGCAATACGGTGCCTACATATGAGTGCTGCTCCCTTTGTCCCTAAGCAAATAAAAGGGGGTGGAGGGAGTATTGCGTAAGAAAAGATGGTTAAACACGTAATAGTAGTATTGCATTTCACAACTTTTTCAGAAAAGCTATTGTGAAAATGTTACTCTGATACTTTAGCAGCTCTTCCAAATGAAAAGCTGATTGAGGTTGGCTTTGAAGCCTGAAGCCTGAATCTGCAGATGAATCAGTAGAGCTGAAGCGGACGATTGCTATCGAGGAAACAATAATACAGTAGTCAAGATATGTGGTTGTGTTTCCAACTGTTGTTTATTTAATAATTGAAGCAGGTTTGAGTTGTAGCAAGGTCTGACACTTCATAAACCTCAGCCTCTTTTGATAATGTCCAGGAGAAAGATGGCGGAATTAATGGGAGAAGGAACTGGTTTAATAATAACCATCCAGCTATTCAATAAGAAACTTTCCAGTTGAGGCAAATTTTGAAAAGGGGACCATATGAGTGTCGTCAAAAGGAAGGACGGCCATGGAGTTTCGCATTTCTCAATTGTCGAAAATGCAGTACAGGCAAATGTGGAGAAGTCTCCACTGGTGAAAATTCTACAATTCATGGATTAGACTGTTAGATGTTCCTGAAGATGAGCTACTTGAGAGCTATGAAAATATCAAAATAAGAGATTATGTGAAAGTATATTTCTGAATGAGACTGTTGGATGTTCCTGAAGATGAGCCATTTGGGTTCAGCAAACCCTGTATCTGCATTGTTCGATATGGCAGAAGATGACCAACAGCATCGAAACTAAATCTGAAGATCAATTGATAGAGCTGAAGCACAACCTTGCCATTTACGAAAAAATAATACTGTTAACAAGAAATGTGATGGCTGTTCCCAGTACAAGGATTGGCACTACAACTTTCACCTCAATCCGTAACAATCCACACATTGAAACTACAAGACACTCAGAGTTGATGTCTCATCTGAACAGAAAAACAAGTCACCTAGCTTCATAGGATTAGCTGGTAGCAAGAGAGTAACAAGAAGTAAAAGTAGACACAAAACACCCTTTCCTCATAGTTGTGATATTAGAGAGGATTCATAGATGTAATAACCTTCAATATATCCCACTCTCAAAGGTGTTTATTACAATTTAGGCATACATAAGGACCTTTTCAAAACTCTCGTTATAATGCTAGTTGCCGGAATGAACAATTATATACTCATCACAAAGTGAACCAGCTTGCTTTTCCTGGGAGAGAAAACAAGGATCTAATGCATCCAAGAGTTGAGAGGCTCTAATCATTTGCTCAGACACTGCTAGCAAATGTCCGTTCGTTTTTAAAAAATGTTTAGTCATCTTAAATTGGAGCCTGTATAAATGAACTATAAATAAATGTCGTGATCGCAAGCTCTAAAATTACCAAGTTCAGCATTTACCAATCAATTAAATAAGCGCCAATTCAATGCACCACTATCTGCTGCTTTGCTACACACTTAAGTTTCTTGATTCACAAATCCAATATAGAAGAAAGAATACAGAAAACATCCTTTGCCTATAAAAAAAAAATTATTTTGATTTTTCTTTAGCCGTCGAGGAACAAATAAACAATATGGAAGATACAAAACTGCAAAAACAATTATAAAAATGAAAAAGAGGCCACATAGTTTTACATGGCACTGTGTTTTGTGCAGCAGTATTATCTTCTTAGAGCGTGCAAGGTGAGTAATCTTGAACCAGAAATGTTGGGAGGAATAAGAGTTGTACCCAGGAAAATAGCAAGTGACAACATCCTTGCTGCTCAAAAATTGTACACGATAATGTAGCTGAACGTCATCCTAACGGCAATCATGAAAACATTCTAAGGAAGTTGTTGGCATAAGCCATTGGTTTGACATCAGGATGCGACTGCAATAACATCAAAAATAAAATTAAAATACTTAAGTGTTCGATAACCTACAAACAGGATTAATAAGCGCAGAAGACAAGGCAAAGTTACTAACCACGGCAGGGAATGTGACAATGTTTGGTTTCAATTCTGGGGCTTCAAAACGAATCAATGCACCCTTATTCCCCATCTGCAAAGGTAAAAGTCGATTAATTATATAGTACTTAAATTTAAATAAAACACCCTGGCCTAATAAGATATTATTGATGAGCAAAAACAGATCTTGATCTTCATAATCTTACACAAGATGAGCAAAAACAGATCTTGATTTTCATAATCTTACATAAGGTTGACCTGTGACCCCCAAAGCAATTCAAGTAACAAGTGAAACAAAAGTGAATTACCTGATCACAATAGTTTGGTGCGGAAAACACGGTAATCAGTTTACCATCATGCTCAATTTCGTACCCTTCATCTTTCACTTCATGAGATCGAACAACTAGATCTGGAAAAGAATACATGAACATTTATACAATACATTGTCAACAAAATTAACAGAGAGCTACTAATTCAGGGTAAAAAGAGTACCTAAGTTATTGTCTTGCAGAAACCTCTTGGTGACATCGGGACCAAACGAAAGGCCAACACCACGCTTACTGGGACCCCTCCCTAGGTTGGATTGTGGATCACTCCACAATACTTCACACATCAATCCTGTAAATCCCAAAAAGAAAAAAATTCATCCACAAGATTCCAAGACAAGTAAAGCTTTACAAACACAATCCCCCTTTCAACCTTAAGGATAAGCATAGTTACTACGAGTACATGTGATTGGGATTCCAGTTAAAATCATAGACTAAATAAAGACCAACGAAATAAAATAAACCACCCTCAGACAGACCAACATCTCAACACTCCAACAATTGTATTCTGCTACAGGGATGGGTAGCTGGGGTGCAAGTTTCTCCCGATCAATCATAAGAATTAAGAAATTGGCTTCTCATTATTCAGTCTATTTTAAATTAATGATCATACCAAAAATAAGGGCAAAATAGAGGATCCACGCTTGTGTCAATCCTCTGGAACTGTTCAATTGAAAGACAACTATCCCTGAATGGGCAAGCCAACATCAGGTACATAACACTTCTTAGAACACTTGTAATTAACAAAGAACGTGGTTAAAAATCATGTTCATCCTTGAGTAAAATTAGGTACATGAAGTTGTAGTACATGATTCTACAATACTCGTAACACTCTAGTGATGATATTGCAATCCCAATACCAGCCTATTTTCGTACAGGGATAGACTCACATTCCACGGAAGATCAATGTCAACACTTAAGACATTTACTTCTCTGACAGCATGGTATTAATGACAGCAACAAAAGATATATGAAGACCATGAATCAAATTAAGAATCAAAAATAAATTTACTGGATGGGCAAGTATATACATACGAAATAGTACCAAAATAATGACTGAACAGTTTAATCAGG